ATATATATATATATAAAAAATAAATAAAAATTAAAATAAATAAATAGATAAATAAATAAAAAATCTTTGAGATTTTTTACCTATGACTCCTTGCAAGAATATTTGTGACACCTCATTTATGTCTATGACTTGGGTGAAGTTAGTGTCACATGCCTAAGTACTGTCTTTAACTTCCCTTTATGATACACTGGCAACAATCCTGCAATTTTACTTATTTTGTATTAGTAATTATATGGAGAACTTTCCTACCCCTTGTTCACTTATTGCCAAACACTAATCAGGATGCTTCCTCCTTGTTTATTGCACTTTTCTCTTTAATGAATACAGATTTCACTGTGCATCTTCTCACCTGACAGACTGACAATAAATAGAAAACATAAGATAGATAATATTTTAGTCATATATTTGAGATCCACTGCATTAATAATTTTATTTGTTTATTACATTCAATTATTATTATTATAGGGTCTTTTAAGATGTAAATATTAGTACTAGTTAAGTGACAACTTTGAAATGTGGCAACAGTGTGTGTTAACGTTAAAATTGCTAAGGATAGTCTAAGGATAGATGAATCATTGACAGATTCTGCATTGGTCATGAAAAGAAAGATGTTGTTTTTGTTTTTTATCATTTATTTTGATTCATAATTAGTTAGCTATATACCTGATGCTATTTTCTTGCCCTTCAGAGTGGCAACAGCCGTGGTCACATACCATGTGAGGCAGATGTGTCATGTCTCACCATCTTCAAAGGTCATTTAATCGCCACTTGCTATGACGGATTAATACGGATAATTTGTTTAAAGGTACGCAAGTTTACGGCTTTCTTGGGTCCTGATGGTTATGGTATACCAGTGCTAATGAATTTTTTTTTTCCAGTATTATTAACCCACTTGTGCCGGTATATTTTGAACCCGAAAAAAATAGTTTCCGGGTGGCTTCAAGGTGTGCGGGGCTGACCTGGAATCTGCCTGCGCGCCGGTGCAAGCTCCGATCCAGCGTCACACTGGCAGGACACCTGGCAATGTTTATTTTTCCAAGTGTCTCATATGTGGGACACCTGTCGTAAATGGGCTAATTTACTGCATTGTAGCTGTATTCAGACAGTACTTTTCAGTAATAAACTTCATGTTCTGAATGAAGTGTGTTGGCATATAACATCATGTTTATATGACCAGATTCTAATTTTTTACCTTAAATGAGAACTTACTTGTTTTGTCTTCTTCCTGTTGAGTAAATTAAAGCTCACAAGTTGATCAGAGAGTTTGTAATGTTTAATAAGGCATTCTTTATATATGTCCTTTTTTATCAAAAGATAAATGTTGTTTCTGAATCCCATGTCAATAGTTGATTATATTCAAGAAAAAGATTAAGAAGTCCACACTAGGAAATAAGCTATATTTGTTATGAAGTTTGATGAAAAGCCATTGTTTACTTATTTGCTAAAAATTTCTTGTGTAAGATCTTGCCACTTTCAAAAACCCTTATTTAAAACAAACTGGACTAACTAGAAACAATAAATCAAATAACGTCTCCTCTATCACTTATTTATATATATATTTTTTTTTTTCAACAAGAAAATTACAATGGAATCTCATGCTGCAAGTTAATTTAAATGTCCAGTAGAATTACAGACATCAGACACTTTAAAAATCTGTAAATGAAAATTAACATTGCATTATCTTTCTACCTCGCAGACTGGCCAACTGGTGCAGCGACTCCAAGTGGAAACTACAAATAAAATGTTCATTTGCTCAGCGCTCTATAAAGATAAAGTAAGTGTTGCTGTAATGTAAGATTTATGTATTTTTCATCTTTTTTTTATTCTTTTTCAATTCATTTGTCTCAGAATGTAAGATAAAATGATTTTAGTACCAGGATTTACATAATATATTTTGGACATTCAAGAAAGTCTAGAGGTTCTTAGATGATAATTCTTGTTATTATTTGCTGGCTGGAGTGTTGAGTGAATTGTGACAGTCTTCATAATTTTGATGCGTAAATGCTGCCTATTTTTAAAAGATCACATGCTGTTATTATAATTATTTCCCTTTTGCAGTTATTGATTGGCAACAAGAAGGGTGAGGTAGTTGGTTGCCAGTTGCCACAACTTGCAAGCCAAGTAACCTAAGGACCGGCCTAGCTCCACGGCAATAATTATGCATTCCTCGAATATAATGTGGGATTCAGTTATGAGCTCCTGGTTCTACAGAGATTAGTGGGGGGGAGAAAACACACAGGCAGTGTTTTAGGGGAAAGAAAATCACATAATAAAATTTTTATTTTATTTATTTACATATCTTAAATGCTATTACTAAATAGGATTTAACAGTAAATATATCAATGAGCATTACATTAGAAAATTTTCAAAAAGTATGCAGAAAGGTTGTCATGATGCTGTAGGTTGACTTAGCACAACAAAAGTCATGTAGAGCTGCTGCCACTGCTGTAGAAATGACAAGAGGCAGCAAAAAAATATTTTAAAAATGATAATTAAAAGGAAAACATATGTTGCATTGTACTTGGAAATGCAGACTGAGTGTGGCTCACTCTTGCTCACATCTACAAATTATATGTTCTAGAGTTTTGTGTCCATCCAAATGTTTACCAAACTTTTTGCCCGAAGCTGTGGATTCATCATAAGCATATCCCTTTGTAAACAGTGCTAAAGGAGAAAGTTATGCCAGGCAACTCTTGTCTTTCATGAAAATGCTCTAATTGTATTTGTAAAACAAAGAGTTGATTATTTTAATTAAGAAGAAAAATAAGGAATTATATCGTTAAAAGGAGATATTTTTAGAATGAGAAACCCAGCTTTACTGTTTAGTAGTGTCAGGAACATCATAAGTATGTTATCTCATCTCAAAAAGTACACTGATAATTGGTAGTAAAACAGGAAAACAAAAATAAGACAAAAATGTTATTGGAAACCTTATCCTGTGATGTCTTTCATATTTGAATTTGTAGATCTCTCTTTTAAGTGTTTTGTACACTTGATGATGATAATGTGTCATCATCTTTGGTGGGTTACATTTCTTTGTAAGGTAGAAGTAACTTTTTTCTTTTCTTTTTTTTTTTTTCTTTTTTATCTTTGTTTTTCTGTTATTGTTTTGTACAGGTGTATTTATCACCTGGTATCTTGCACTTAAGCACAAAACTTTTATGTGATATTGGTCTTGCTAGTCAGGCTTATGAAAGAAAATGGGCCATGCTCATCTCGGTATACAAATTACTTTTCTGTTAAAAAAATGAATAAATAGATAAAAAATACTTAGTGTCAGAGGTGATTTTTTTTTAATGTTTCAGGATTCTAAAAGGATGTTAGTGTTTTGCTCATAAAGATCTCAACATAAGACTTGTTGTGAAATTTTAATGTTTATTAAGTATCTCATACTCGCTGTTTATACAAATAAAAAAAAGAATAATTGAAAGCATTTCATTGTTCCCATTGTCATGTATCATAGCTTCTGTTACTGTATCCCTTGAGGACAGAGAGAAGGGAGGAGTGTGCATTTCCATTGAGAAACACTGTTGGGGCGCCACATGTGCGGGCGGCTAGAAATGTAACGAGCGCACACTAGAACCTGATGCAAATGTGTTCACGTCTTCACACAGACCAAGATTCATGTCAAATTATCATATATTAATCCTTTTTTTCTGATCAGATAATCTATAACAATGGTTCTATACCTGGGAAAACCCTCTAGGAGGGAGCACAAGCCAAGGGGAAAGCAGGAATTTTTCTCATTTTATTCTCATCACAAAGTAAAGTTGATGAAAAAAGGACAAATTATCACTTTTACCTATTTTCTACAGTATGGACAGGCTCACAATTTTTATACTTATTGACTCCTCATGCAAGGTCTATAGAACTTAACATTTGTCTTCACTTTCCCTCAAAACTCGTGCTTGCTCTTGTATTCCACCACATCCATAATCTTGTAGTTCATTAACATTGAATTTGTCTAATCATTTTGCTTTAAAAACTGGGAGGGAAATTCAGCTGATCAATTTGCTTTAAATTCTGGGAGTAAAATTTAGCAATAAATGGAGAAGGGCGCCTAAAGTGGTCGTGCTAGGAAAAAGGTTAAGTACCACTGAACTGGAAGTAATCAAACTGAGAAAAAAATGGTGGGATAAATACAATAAAACTGGCTTTTGAAGTAGAAAATAATCTCTTCTTGAGTAATTCAAGAACCTCAACTGTAAATTCATGAATTAGATTACAAAGTACTCTGCTTCATTGTCTGTATTTTGAGTATTTAGGGAAATTTGCCCTCGAGATAAGCAAGGGTGAATATGAACCCCATGACAAGATTTTTCTTCACCAGTCCATTTCACTCTAAAACTAATGTATACGTTTGTAAAAAATCCTTTTGTATTTCCTTAAGCCCCTCAGGTAGTTTTCTCATTGACTTACATAATAAATAGTAGCTATCTTTGGAATTCATGTCGAACTCTGAGTATTGAATTGTTCCAAACATTAATATGCTTTACATAATTTATGCATAAAAAATTAAACTAGAAACAACCAATTCACTGTCTTAACAAATGCGTAATCTTCACTGTTGTAAATTCATTATTTTCATAACAACGGATGAACTCGCAACTCTGACACGAATACATATAAATTGTGTCTCAGACATGATTCATGAAATACATCATGATCCTGTTATATTTGGTAAACAATGGGTAGATTATCATGTAATGAGAAAGTGAAAGTGCTTATAGCGAGAGAGAGAGAGAGAGAGAGAGAGAGAGAGAGAGAGAGAGAGAGAGAGAGAGAGAGAGAGAGAGAGAGAGAGAGAGAGAGAGAGAGAGAGAGAGAGAGAGAGAGAGAGAGAGAGAGAGAGAGAGAGAGAGAGAGAGAGAGAGAGAGAGAGAGAGAGAGAGAGAGAGAGAGAGAGAGAGAGAGAGAGAGAGAGAGAGAGAGAGAGAAAATGGTCTGGTAATAATATCAACATATGACATATCACAGAGTTACAAAATAAATGTACTGTACATAAAAATAGGCTTAGTCTTGTCATAAAAAAGATAACATAGTTTAAGCAAAACGGATAATGGCAATACTGAAGACAACATAAAAACAAATGGAATTACTGACTATACAATAATGTAATCCCTGACAAGTTTTGGGCTTGGTTAATATATTAAGCATACTCTTAAAAACATAATAAAATACCAAGCTCGCTATAACAACAGTTAAGTTAAGGTATAAATAGTATCATGAATACTGTTCTTACATCAAGTTCGAATATAAAAATTAAATCCATGAACAGATTGGTTTTCTACACAATACACAATGCGTAATTTCGTGATCAACGTAAAGCATAGCCATAACTATAGTATTTTTATCAAAGTTGTTTCAGTAAAATCAATCTATCTATGCTGATCCACGAATAGTTCAATGGATGCATATCAAAATAATTTACGATCTAAAAAAGGAACTGTGAAAGCTGCTAACATGAACACATTAAACAACTGTGAAATAACAGGAGGTGGTTCTTCACCGAAATTAACCTCATTCTTAAGTAGTCCACTGGGACTATTTAGGGTGAGGCAAAGCCGTATGGTGTCATTAACGGTCACTTAGTATTATGTCCACTCGCGTTCGTTGTATAAGTCACTTGCACTTTCTCCTTAAAAGATGGTGTCGTAGAAATGCCACGCGCTTATGCCGCAAGTGAATACTTAAGTGGCAGCCGGCTTAATAATTTAGCGCTACCGTGAAGTATCTAATTCCACGGTCTATGGATGTACGAGAAACAAAGTGAAAAAGAAAGGAGGCAATGCATTTCAACTTCATAAATCTAAGAGTAATTTATCATCTGACTCTAATGGACTCGAAGGCCATTTTATTTCCACTGATTGACTAGCGTTTTGAGCCATCACGTTAATGACAGGATGATTGATGATGCACCGCAGTTGGTGATTGGCTGGAGGCTTCAGTTATCGCAGCGGGTAACTAGTTGACCAATCAGAACGGTTTGTAACCAGTTATCGGCCTTACGACGCAGACAGACAGACAGACAGACAGACAGACAGACAGACAGACAGACAGACAGACAGACAGACAGACAGACAAACACACACACACACACAATTTATATAAAAACACATGTATATCTGTGTATATATATCTTTTTCGAAAGAGGAAGAGGAATGAAATGAAAATTAATTATGACCTCTGAAATGCCCTGAGGTGAAAGATGCTACAGCCAGCCGGATGCAAACACTTCCCTTAAATCAATAGTCACCATTCTTTACATTAATCAACCTAAAAGAAAGGAATCTGTTGTCAAGACGTCCTTCAGCACTTCTGGGACTCGTCGACCACGAGCGTCGTGCTTTGGATCACACTGACCGAAGCAACTAATTGGCCGTTGGAATCCGTCTTCTGTGATTTGGGTTCCGAGTTATCTGCAAGTAGATGGAAATCGGTTAATATGTGGATGAGTAACACCTTGGACATGCAAACTGCAAAGTAAAATAAGAAATTGTATAGATTTGCACACACGATACGAACATACAAACTACCATACAAAATAGATCTACATAACAGCTGCACGCGCATACACACACACATACACACTCTCAAATTATATAGGCTATAAATTATATATGTATATATATATATATATATAATATAATATATATATATATATATATATATAATATATATATATATATATGGGTTATAGGGCAGGTACGTTTATATTACGGGCTAACGATGCATTTTCCTAACGGCAGATGTATGCGGTAATTGTTTTAAAAAAAACTGTAAAATGGTTCCAGGTACTTTCAGTGCTAATACATTACAATTACAATTTTTGCTAGTGTATTGATGTTGAGAATAGCGTCAACACCAGAATCGTCTCTACTATATGATCGTTTTAGTTTAATAATTCTAAATGAATGTACAATATCAACGCAAATTAATGACTATACATTACTTTAAGAAAATGCTTTTAGTCTGATTGGTTTCCGTAAGAAAATATCTTGAAATGACTAAATGACTTCAGTGAATAATAACGTGTAAAATGTTTCAAAACGTATTATTTTTTCAGCTTACTGATATGCACTAAATTGGATCATCCTGTTTTATGTGATATTGCTTTATATTACAATAGACACTAGAAAAAAAGATAAGACAGCGAGAATTATCCTTAAAGCATATCTTTGCATAAATATGTATAGTTGAAGAGAGCAACTAAATGTGATTATTGGAATGCTGTAGCCGCTGAATTTCCGCCATTTTCTTTAGATTATAATAAATAGAGACACTATATTTGGGGGTTAACTTTTCAAAGCCAGTCAGTCGTTTGCATTTTCATATTTCAACAATAAAAAGTAGACAGATAAATCCGAGCTAACTCCAATGACAAAATATTATGAGCCAATTTATGCTTCTAAGAGAGTAGACTAAAAATAAAAATGCGAGACAAGTTTGTGCCACCAAGGATTACGGACAGTGTTGTGAAAGATTCTGAACGGGCTATTC